GGGGTAAAAATAAACATGTTTATTATCCGGGAAGGGTTGGGACCTAGCGAGGATGACGCTACCTACACAATTGAGGATCGGACGTCACAGGTAAGTTAGTCCGATCTATTTAATTGTATAGGTAGCGTCATCCTCGCTAATTATACTAGTAGACGTTCAAAGAAGGAGTTGTGTTGACAAACAACACTGTTTAATCATTGAACATTGTTGCACTTAAACAAGATATATGACATTGTCAATAACATCAATATCTCACGAGTACTATATAGTACTAGTAAAAACTTAAGCAATAATCAAATTACGTTTATAATTTCCCCAAGATGTAAGCCACTAAACCATTATTAGATATAATAGCTACTTATGGTTATGGTATTGTTTTCAATCATTTTTATCAAATAAAAATACTTATAAAATTAAATACATTTTAAAAATAGTATTAAAAATAAACAGAAGCCCAAAGCACGGGTTATCTTAGTTTGGGTTCCTGACTTTCATCATTGTATTGTCAGGTAAACTGCATTAACCCTATGTAGAACCAAAGTGAAGTGAAGAGAAGAAACAAGCTTATGTCAATATTATAAGATTAATATTAAGATCTACATCATTATGTATTGTGATGGAAAAATAATTAAATGTCCTTATTTATTAATTTAATTATTTAGTAAGCATAGCAACAATATTATTATCTTGAAATTCTGGTGTCCACTACACCAACTATAGGTACACCTACTATGTACGTTTTGAACTATAACGTTGTTCAAATTCAGTCTATTGCGAAAATTTAACGTCTTTCAATAGGTTGTTTTCTTCAAAATTATCAGTTTCTTTTTTTTTTTTTTTTTTTTATATATTATCTAACTTCTCCATTTTCAGTAGATCTACATTATGATCATGACTCCATACATAGTGATATACAGAGCTAATAAGCTCATGCAATATTAGGATTGTTGGTGGAAAAATGGATTGACTGACCAGGCAGTCGTCTTACTTAAATATATGACTTTGATACTGATTGATACATCTCTGTGAGGCTTTAGAAGAGGTTGAGAGTCCACTGTTATAGTACTAGACATACATTCACTTGAAATTGTAGAATATGATTGATCCCAGAACAATGATTTAAAAATTGTTCTTAAAAATAAAAAATAGTAGGTAGGTAGGTACTATTAAATATGGTTCAGGTTTATTGGCATTATCATTTAGGTACAATCTATAGTGATAGAGATAGTGTGAATTATATGTGCTAATTAATTGATGTTTTAAACTAAAGTTTTAAGCTAAGATTATCATTGGAGTACATACAGGTACATAATAATATTGATTTATTTAGATTGTCATGTACACAATACAATAAAGTTACGGTACATGGTGAACTTGATTCCAAGTGGCATATTCTACCAGTAACCCTCAGGGTTTTAAATAATAATTGTAATAATACACAATTATGTACCTATTTTAGAATAAAACTGGAACCGCACACCACATATTAAAGTTTCTTTTTCTTTTTGGCCTTAATTTGTATACACTTCTAAAAAATCTTGTAGGTAGTTTCTTAATAATTTCACACAAGAGGACCTAGGACTAATGAAGTACCTATCTAATAGTATTCAATAAACTGTATGATAGGTAAATTTAGAAGTAAAAATATAATAATCACAACGGATACATATGCTGAAAAAGTCAAAGCAAAGTCGTATTGCTGTTTTGTTTTACTTTACAATGTGATGCTAGCATTATTCCCATAGAATGCAGTACCTATTCCTTTTCTTAGGAATTCATTCCTGATTATATGGTGGTGACTACATTGTATATGTTGTGTAAAGTGGGTGAACTTCTGGAAGGAAACAACCAGAGATAACACTAGAACTTAATGAGGTTCAGAAACTTGAGTTGAACCGTGGGTATCAATAATGGATCCTAATAACCTTTGCATATACCCCCCCCCCCTTTTTCTCTTTATGACTTTTAAAATTCCGAAAAGAAGGAGGGCATGGAAAAAGAATCTTCCTGCACTTACTGAATAGTGAAAACAACAGTAAAGATATCAGGGTCAGGAACCCATGATACATATATTTCAGTCTCTTATACTTGTTTGCCTATAGATCTTTGGCGTGATACACCAAGTGGTTTTGGAGGCAAACTTTGATTTAAACTCGTGCGAATGGGACATCTGAGTTTATTTAGGTATTTCTTTACCGGCCTTATTTTCTTTTAAGGTGTAAACATTTATTCTAGATTAACTTAAATAACAAGTGTTCAAGTTCTTTTTGGTAAAACAGAACGTATTTGACATCTGATGTTTTAATGTCAACATGTCAAACAAACGTAAATATTGTTTACAGTGAATATTTTGTTGTGCGTATTCGCTTAATAGTTATTATATTGGCCTTACAATTTCAATTATTAACCTAATTTTAACATGGAGCCAGCCAAATTCCATAGCTGGGCGAGCAAACAATGTTAACTTTAAAGTTGAACGGAATCAAAAATCTGCAACTTTTTGTTTAGGTCATACAATTTTCATTATACTTGTAATAAAATCCACCTTTTTAAGTGGCACTTATATAGAGTTGTCTAGAGTAAGAAATTAATCCTATATACTGAAAGAATCACCCTTTTCAGTATAAATAATATTTAATACTATACCAAGTTTACAAGAATACTTCTGTAAGGTTCTGTATTAGTAATATAGTCTAGACATTTCTTATGTTCTGCAAAATTAAGGAATATCATCAACATAATTTCGTGTAATCAATACTATACAATGTATAAGGTTACTCTTTGGGAAGACAAATAAGAACCGCAAATGTTTGTCATTCACCATTTTCCTTCACTGATATTAAATAAAATGCATTCTTAAGTTGATCATGCATCTGAAGACACTTCAACATATGAGGAGTTTTAGAAATGGTTCTAGATCCATTGTTTATATTAATAGTAACATAATTTATTATAGTCCTTAATTATTTAATTGCCTGAAGGACCATTTGTTCTGGAATGTGAAGATAAACTGGCAAGTAATCACTTAGTCAGTTATCTACATATATGGTACAGTACAGCACCTTAGCTTTAACAATTTTCCTTCAGAAGTAAAATTATTTTGCTTTTACACCTATGTGGGTATTTTGTGGTATATTTGTCTGAACAGGAATATCAGTGATGGTAATTTATACCTATTAATCCAACTAAGTATGGTTGGGAAACCTAAAGCAGAACTCTATTGTTCAGAAAGGTAATGTGATCTACCTGTACTAGCGATGATCCGGACCTCAGTGCTGTGGGTAGAATTAGAAATTCTGTAGAGGATGCATCGGCCTTGTTGATTTTCTTGTAATCATGTGTTCGCTTTAGTTTTGGTTTTTGCTCACACACACACACACACACACACACATATTGTTTGTACATCACACAGTGTTTGTTGATGTGGTTGGCATGAAGTTGGTAGTCTAAAAGGTTTTCTTGGATGTTCTCCAATTCAAGTTTAGACTCTCTGATAGCTTTACTTGCAATAAACTTGTCTTGAAGCACTATTTATTACTGTATATATAGCTAGAACACCTATTTGTGTTCTGATCTTCATTCAGGGGCACATGTTAATAATTTACAGAGCAGTCTGGCTGTATCCTTAAAATCTTTAATAGGTTTGTTAATTAATTTGCGAACAGTAACTGCTCCTAGAGTCATTTGATATTCACAATCCTATCGTCTCACTCAATCCCATCTTTATTTAGTGGCACCTCCTCCCCTCCTCATTTATTTGAGACATTGGGAGGAATTAGGTTATAATAATTATGAAAAGGGAAAATAAGTGTAATCATTTGATAAGAATGGCTTTGTCCAACATGCAACACTATGGAATAGCTGGCTAAGGAAATGTCCCATTTCCCATAAGCATAGGTAGCAATTGCTCCGGAGTATATTTACTGACTGGAGCGAGACTATAGGAGTAGTTTCCAACTCATGTTGATTGGCTTCGGTGCCATGCCATGGTGAGCGGCTTCAACTGGAATGGCTTCATGTTCTTCTGAGGCAAAGCGAACTGATTTTAAGTTTCTAACTGCAAGGTAGTTTAAATGATCCACGGCTAACCTCTCGTGAAAGCTCTAGGATTGCAGTTGGAAATGTTTGACTAAATGTGACTTAAACCCGTGGCTAACCTCTCGTGAAAGCTCTTGTGGTTTGCTTCAAAGTCAAGTAACCAACGGCTGACCTCTCGTGAAAGCTCTTGTGGTTCGTTCCAAAGTCAAGTAAACCAATGGCTAACCTCTCGTGAAAGCTCTTGTGGTTAATTCTATAGTAGAGTTACCAACGGCCAACCTCTCGTGAAGGCTCTTGTGGTTCGATCTACAGTAAACATGTAACCAACGGCCAACCTCTCGTGAAGGCTCTTGTGGTTCGATCTATAGTAAACATGTAACCAACGGCCAACCTCTCGTGAAGGCTCTTGTGGTTTCGATCTATAGTAAACGTGTAACCAACGGCCGACCTCTCGTGAAGGCTCTTGTGGTTTAATCTAGGTATATAGAAAACGTATAACCAATGGCTCACCTCTCCTGAGGGCTCTTATGGTACGTTTCAAGTGTGTATGTTGCGTACACAATCATTCTCAAGGCTATCCGCTTGTGGAAGCTATTGGAAAACGCCCCACAATGTGGTGTAAGTACCTACAAGAAAAAACTTACCAAACTGACGACAACGAATGCGTCCTCTCGCCGGTTTCGCCCAATTATCCAATTCCTGCATACACTCCATCAGTTTTCCTATCTGCTTGCGACGTTTTCGACCCATTTAGTAGGAAAATCACCAAATTAAATTGAAAAATTTTCCAGGGTACGACGTGACAGGTCGTGCACAAAGAAGTACAATGATGTTGCCAGTGAGATGACCATAGAGTATAAATATTTTTTTATGAATGTGTTCATCTTTAAATATTGTGACAGCGTGCCCAGATTAGTGCCTACTACTAGTATAATTAGCGAGGATGACGCTACCTATACAATAGGATTTAGTGTGCCATGTAGGGTTTTTATGGAAAATCGACTATTACTTACAAAAATATTTTAAGTAGGAAAGGAAGTTGTTTAAATCGTCCACAAATACTTCGTTACAAATGTGTTAAGTCTTCGAATCCGAAATAATTTAAAAATTATAAAGGCAGTTGCACATGTTGGATATTATTATACGATTCCAAAGAATTTGCATTGTGGACCTAAATATAACCGGTTGTGTTATGTCGAGTTTCGACCCCAAACTCTTCGTGACGGACATCGTACAGTAAGTACAGCGCGAATACAATACAGCACGCGAGCGAATTACCAGATCGGGTGAACGTTCCATAGTAACTTTGTTACAATTTCGTGACATTCAACAGCAAGCATTGCGCAATCGAATCAGTACAATCTAATAAACAAAATTGATCAGTAGATTTCAATAACACTACTGTGATTAAATTGTCTATAATATCTATTACTAGTCGTAGTCATATTTCGCATAGTCACGACACTATCAATGTCCTATTACCTAGACCTGGATGTAATGCCACGGGTGTACAATTACAGAGACAACAGCTACTCCGCAAAACGGTGTAATAAGTATCCTAGTGTTTCATGACAGTGCGCCGCAGCACTTTCTGAAATTCCATTTGAGTAAGCGAGTAGGTACGAGTACAATACTGCGTAACTGCAATTCTCTTCGGTGTGTCACGCGTTGCAGACAACAGATATTGTAACGCAATACAAAGTTCAAACATTAATCGAAGTAAGATGTCAAGTCGTAAAATGAAGCTCATGAACCGAGGAAAATGAATTCACAGAAAGCATATTATACAGCAAGAGAATACACTACGTAATGGAGTCCATTGCGCTTGATTCTTGTCTTTTATAAGGACTCGACAGCAGATAAGCAGGCAAAGGTACTGCTTCACAGACAAAGATTGATGCCTCGTGCCCCCAAAGCAACGAGATAAAATGTAATATATTTCCATAAGGTTTACCGTATTCTGTGGCTCTATATGAATAGGAACTAAGATTGCAGGGTTCAATAAATGCCAAATGGTGTATATCAAACATCAAGTAATGCGGTAAATAGTTATTAACCACATTGTGTATCAGATCAAACTCATTCAGAGCAAGTTATTAGATTTATAGATGAATCATTGTTGCTTACCTTTAAGTATGATCCGTAATATTTAGTAACGTATGGGCTGTCACATTGTGACAACACCATGATCTCCTGCTGGATGTCTTCGATTTCATCTTCAGCTTCTTCTAAGTCGATTATTTTAATAGCGACCACTTGCTGGGTCCTGTTATCGACACCCTTAAACACCTCACCGAACGAGCCTTTGCCGATCTTCTCCTGTTTCGTGAAGATCAGCTCGGGGTCGACCTTCTGTTGAACAAAGAAAAATATAATGTTAGTTATCATGTTTTTACGACTAGTAGTATAAAATGCATCTAGTTTAATTGCTGTAAGACCGAAGTAATCTTCCTTTGTAAAAATATGAAAATAATAGGAGCGTACGTTACTAAGAATATTTTTTACTAAGAATACCGAAATAAATTATTTGGTAAAGACACGTGCCAAAAAATAAACGAGGTAAATTGACGAGGCGGCACATTGTTATTACACCTTAAGCGTTATTTTAGGTGCCTTATTATACGCAAATATACGTTTGATGTTCAAAAGCGATGATTGATTATTCATAGCGTGATATAAAATATTCATATGCACGAGCTGTGAATATAATCGAGTTGTTTTTGTATATTTTCATGAAGCCTAAATCTTTATTCGTTGCAGTATATATATAGCCCTATACACAATCCTGCCAATATTATAAATGCGAAAGTCTGTATGTATGTTTGTTTGTTTGTTGTTCACGCAAAAAGCTAGAGGGATCAGGATGAAACTTAACTTGGGTAGATTATGATCTGAAATAACACACAGGCTACTTATTATACTACTGAAACGCTGGCAAAGCCACTGGCAGAAGCAAGTCTTTAAAAAATCAATAATGCATTGTCGGTAAACATACCTAAATGAATACAAATGAATTATTTTCAGTTATCGATCGTATCATATCTTAGGAAAGTATTTTAAAGCCTGACGCAATAACTAATAAGAATGGAATTCGATAACGATCGATTAATTGACGATAGTTGAAAAACATGTTTCAGATAAAGTATAATTACCACAATAGACATGTCAAAGGGCTATACGTCCATTCAGGCACTTTACCAACATGTAATCTTGTTTATTTTATTTTTAATGAAACATTACTTCCATTTTAAAATGGACAGACTATTGAAAATGAGGTTCGTGTCAATAGGTTGTAACTAACAATGGTTTCAAAAGCAAACGAATTCATCAGTAAGCGTTTTACAGTTATCTGTTTTAAGTAGGTGTACCGACCGAGGCTACGTTACCCACGATTATAACTGGCGAGTGACTCAGTTTGATTACTTGGTCAGGCGAACAGACCTCTAATCAGAACATGCCTCGCTGACTTTGAGCTAAACATGTTGTTCCCTTTAGTCTAGACAGGGATTATTATTTTAGTGTTTTTATTTCCAGCGAATCTGCCACAATGTATATAATATAATGTACACAGATGTAGAGGTGAACCTTTTAGCATTTAACTGACTTTGCAACCAAACTGAAGGTCGTTCGCTGCGAGATGCAATCAAACTCAATGTACTGCTAAGTAAATGACGTTACGAAAACTTCTCCATGTATAATTAATTGTTTACATGTCTGTACACACAAGTATTTCAATTGTTTGAAATGTAACTATAATCTTATAGTTTTTACAATCTTATATTCTTTTCGATACACAAATGTACATCTACCGCGACCACCTACCAGTCTGACTCATAACAATAAATCAGATAAAAATTGTAATCTTAACAATAAAATAAGGAAGCCACAACAGTGACTACTACAATAATCCAAATGACGAAAACGAAATTAGATCAAAATAAGTTTAAAGTTAGCGCCGAATAAATACGAAAATTTTCTCAAATGCTCAGCCGATAATTCAATCGATGATAATAAGTATATTGTTGTCTTAATAAAGAAACTAGTGATGCTATCTTTCCAATAGATTCACGGAGAGAAACTCTCGCATTCCTTTGAATATACACGCGAGGAAAAGACGGCACGTGTAGTCGCGTACTGTACTACAACATGAAGCAAATTGAGATATCTAATCAGCAAATTATGTTCCAGATACTTGATTTGTTACTCATATTAAATGATGTGCGGTACTTGTTTCAAAAGTTTCGATATGTTATGTCCGGCATGTCCGGTAATTAAACAAATTGTGTATTAAAAATACTTATTGAACATTTAGGATGAAAACCTCGATGAAAGCCTCATAGTTTTCCAGGTTTGCGATAAGTATAGGACGTGGATCGTTTTATCCCCGTTTAGACGGCACGAGACATAGTCGGAGGGAGACGTGACTAGACTACCAATGAGCTCCGTCAGAGAGCATATTGAGACGTAAATCTTCTTATTTTTAATCTAGTAGCGCAGCAGTAAATAAAACTGTTTTCGGTTTAAGTAAACCCATTGGACTCGGTTTAAGCGAAATAGTCGTTCCATTTATACGCCCCTGCTTCCAATAATGTCGGTTCGACAGATAGCTAGCAAATAAATCGAAAGAGTGAGTGAATTCCAGGATTACTAGAGCAGAATTATACGTAGATTACTTGTTTCAAGAACGATTGTTTCTCCATAATATTCTTTCATATTAGTTATATTTTTGAACATTACGTATGTACAAGGAATAATATAACGGATGTTTTTAGACACTCAATTTATAATTACGGTTGAGTCACAAATACGCTCTTCGTGGAAGTCAGGAAGTGTACATAAAGGTCGAACCCTAAAAGCAGGTACCTAAACAACAAGGTAGCGAGGTAACATCATTATTTCCTGTTAAAATGTTACCCGTAAGGGGGCTCTGAAAAAGGGGATGATAAAGTAAAAGTCTCATCTTTATACGAACAAAAAGGCTTATTGTGTTCGGCAAGCCAATTTCACACAAGTTTGTGAAGAATGATTAAGTTACCGGTAGAAGGGCTGTTGGGAAAATTATCTTCCATGTCCATGTTCGTCGCATGCATCAATTTTAAATTAAACAGTACATCACGTACATACATAAATAAGGCACCTACGTACGAAACTCATGAACTGTTGGAAAGATTATCCATTTCATTCTATATCAAAAATAGACTATAATCTGGCTACACCCAAAAAACGTCACACGATAACTATGATTACATCCGGATTATCTCTTTGTCATTACACAAAGCTAGATAAGGCTGCCTAAATTAATTAAATGTTTGAACTTCTCAAACTTTCCTATCGTCACATCAAAGAAAGCCTTTAAAAGCTTTCATATTATGCAAAAAGTTTTCGCGACAATTAAGTGGTTTAGATAAGGAATGAATAAAAGTTATTTTAAAGGCTTCGAGATGCGAAGCCAAAGCCATTTGGTAATGAAAAAGAAAGTGAAAGAATATTGTTAGACTAAAAAATATAACAAAGTAACGACTCCTTTAGGGACCAATATTGCCTTTTCTATCAATAAACTATAAGTAAAAAAAGACAAGTCAGGGATTACAAGGTAAGTTTTTCGGAACAGGAAAATTATTAACAAAATAGGAAATATAAGTACATTTTCGGTAAATACATACAACTTTGATTTGATTAGATAGTGACGTATGATGATTAGAATGATGATTGACTTAATTCTTAACAACAAATGTCAGGGTTCATTTAGTTACGTATACAACCCGTTCTATAGACTTTAGCATAGCTTAAAGGTTATTAGGTATACAAAGGCTACGAGAATAACGTCATCTAGAACGACGTCACTCCTTTCCAGCTATAGACACATAGACAGGCCCTAATGGAGTGTTATTTTTATAATACCTACGGCACACGTTTATCCACGGCCGTCCATATTGAGATAAAGTCTGTACGATAAAGGCCGTGTATATTTTTTGCATAATCTCACTAAATAAGAGTCACGTCCACGGATTGTTACGGCTGTGATTGAGCTGTGTCGTAAACCATGCTAGGATTTTGGTATTTAATTTTTAAAACATTGGTCAACTTGCCTTGAGATTTTTACTAAACAAATACGTGTTTGTAAAAGGTATTTCCTTTTTGATACTTTGTCTATTTATAGAAACCTTTTGTGTGTTCTTTCGTGAAAAGGTAAAGGATGCTGTATTTTATTTCACTGACAATCTTGCCTTGTATGTTATACCATTAGTTTATGATATTTCCATCCAGATAACGAGCAAGCCCTAGGAAACCACTTGAGTGTTAATCTACATGATATCATAAAGTTAGAATCAAGTTATAATAACAATGTGTAGTTATAATGACTTATTTAACTAGAAGCCACAGTTGGTTGTAGTTACACTTTTATGTGTTTCAATTTATGAACATACTAGACTTTTCAATTAAGATAACAATGGACTAGTTATTCCCAAAGGTAAACTGACCATCAGTTTAAATTATAAGGGAACAGATGTAGAACTGAGATTAAAAGGATGATATTTCCTTTTAAATTACAGTTGTTTTAGTCGTAGGCGTAATAATTGTGCGTAGGATTTATAGTACTGTCTGAAATATAAGCTTCTAAAATATAGCACTTTTTGAAATTAGGCCGGTTTAATTGAGCAATACGACCTTTCTTCATTATAAAGTTATGCGCTGTAAAACCTCGTTTCGCACCGAAAGGAATTCCTTTCTGTAATTACAGAACAAAATGCTGAACATTCAATTCATTCATATCTCTTTACAATATTCGAAATTGTTAACGACCGTTTCGCGGTCGGTCGTGGCGCATGCGTTACCACGGTGAGGTAATTAAACTTTCATGATAATCATATCTGTCGCAATCCGGTCACGATACTCGTTGTTATTATAACGCAATATTGACCTTGTTGCAAAAGAAAAGCCAAGTGCTAGTTACGCAGCATAAGTAAATAGACTAGGAGTCGATGCTAACTAAACAAACACAAATTGAGGTTAGTGCTATCCATTTTTCTACAAGAATGTGCTGGAACAGATTTGTTTATTATTGCAAAACATTCGTTTCTTCAGTTTACATATGAGGTACTAATTTTAAAACTTTAATGCACTTTTAAATAAATATGTTGGTGTGTTTTTCATACATATTTACAACCATTAATAAATAAGAAGAAACATAGTAATAAACCAAATCTTCAGGACAAATTGTGAAGTTTAGAATTCAAAGAGTTTAAATATTTATGGTGCGTTTAAATGTAAAATATGGCGCAGTTAAATCGCGCAATAGAATAGTGAAACATAAGTTCAGTGTTGGCAACGTTAAAGACACGCCTCCGTTACATCTCGCTGGAGTCACCTTTACAGCGGCGTCCTCGTGCCGTAAACAGAACAACCTCACTTACTACTACATTTGCTATTCATTAGATACTACCCTATATAGGAAATCGTCTTACACCGACACTCTATAAAAGGGCTAACGGCATGCGCTCAGCGAACACAAGTTTTTGCTGGACCTTCGTAAGAGTTACGTAAATAAGTAAACATGAACGTTTCTGGTGACAGTCGTGAGAAAGTGGGTAAATGCAAGACTAAACGTTGTAACTCGTTGGTAAGTTTATCATAACTTATTACTATGAAACACGTATATCATTTTCATTTACGGTAACAAATTGGCTTACAAAGGTTGTAATATTAATCACACAACAAAGGTTACATACGTAGAGTTCCTACTAGAGAGAAATGGTAGTTCGTGTCGAATGACGCGTGCGCAGCCGACATCCGACACGCAGTGCGAGACGAGGAAATAAATTACAGCTATATAAAACAGCCGATCAACTCACGCACATTATACCAGGACATGAAAGTACCTACCTACCTACCAGGAGCATTGAATTACAAGGCAGCTCGTTACTTTCCATGTTTCACTTACATTACTTCCAGTGTATCGGCTTTGCGAAGGCCTGACTGGGGCTGGGCGAGCAGGTTGTGGAGGTACCTTCAGCTGTCTTCGATCAAACGACGAGACATTACTTCCTGACCAACTCCAGCGGCCGGGCCCATTAGTACCATGTGGCAAAGAGTATGATGATTGTGGTCGTAAATGCCTCGTTGAAGGACCCGACAGTATCGGACCATTAGGCCCCACTTGTGGTATTGGACCAGCAGGTCCTTGAACATAATGGTAATGCGGCGGATTCGACACCGCTGCCCCCCACATATTATAACAAAATGTCTTGAGTCACACACAAACACTGCACAAATCAAATATCACCTCATCACATCGATATTTGTTAAGCACTGGCATCCAATGACATTTTGTGAGTTTCACCTGTCGTCTTATCTTTTTAAAACAATGATAATTACAAATAGCCAATCAGTTCACAGTTTATTCTTTTAAACATTTGATAACGCGCACATTTTCAATCTGCTACCAGTTGGTAGCGAGTGATCCAGGCCACTGTTCGCGATGGAAAGACAGCTTGAAAACATGAACGCCTCGAAAGCAACCGTCACCGGACGCAACTGAGACGCGTAGAGAATTAATTTATGTTTGATGGACAATTGTTTTGTCGACAAAGGTCCATATAATGATGATAAATAAAAAAGAACTGTTTGAACTACTTTTCAAAACACAAGCTCAAACACACTTAACTGTCGTAATTACTAAACGCAAAGAGGATCTCTTAAGATCACTACGGATACATTTTTCCCCCCACATCGCTCGATAAATCGGCAGTTTTGTCATAATAAGGATTACACCGTTAACGAACTGCAATAAGATTAGTAACAAAACAAAGTGGGACAGCCCATAAAACGAAAATAGGGACAGTTGAAATGTAAAGTTCACATCACTGAATAACAACATTCAGAGGCAACTTTGTTCTAACGTCACTTTGGTCACCGCTACACAGATAATTTCCGCACCACTGGCTGCTAGAGAAATCTGTTTCCCGACACTACAAATCCATCATGATGGATGGCGTGTGAGTTTCAACGCATTTGAATGTAGACTGGTTGCGTGTTGCGAGTGGTTGCCGAGCGTTCCACACCGGCCGTCCTGGCGATTGCATTATAATTTTTTCGCAAGGGACCGCGGGGGTGAAGCAAGCATGCGGGCGGTGAGCGGCGGCGCCAGCGGAGCGTGCAGCAGCGGCTGCTCCGGCGGCTCAGCGCAGCGAAACTCGCGTACAGACTTCATGTACCCAGCAGTGCATAAGTATTTACAGCAATTCAATGTTATTGCTGTATCACTTGCTTGTCGCCGACGATCTACAAATTATGCAGACAGATGCAGGCAGAGTCCGAGATACTATCGTCCCACATATTAGCTATAAGTAGATTTTGATATGAATGAAATTATTGCCGCTGCTCCAATGGTAAAACAGTGAAAGTTGGCCTGTCGCAAATTTTGCCATTAATGGGTAACATTTTATTATAAATAAACCGACCGCCCATTGTAACTTGAGTCTCTAAACAAGTTGACAAAAAATCAACTTTATCAATATAGCTGCTAAAATACATCACAGAGCAAATGACTCGTATAGCTATGGGCTATTCGTCAAATGAGCGTTCCAGTTAGCAAGCGCGAAAGTTAGCAAGACAAAGGCGTTACAAAACTTTCGTTGGGCCGCAACAACGAGTGTCTGAATTTGGACGCACAATAGGAGATACATTAGTATTCAGCGTGAGGACGGCCGAGCATGGCATCGGGTGGACGTCGCGAGGAGTCACCGCCCGCGCAGCCGTGCATTGAATACGGTCCTTTCTGAACTAGAAGGAATTCCATGCGTTTACGGCAGCGCTACGCATCGCCATAAGCGTTCGACATTAGGCAATGCGGCCCACATACATTTACATTATTTGGTTTACGATCCGTTAGAACCTTTTGTGGGTCCTATCACGGTTTTCATAACAATATATTTTTTGTTATTGTAGTGCGACCTCACAAATATATGTTTTTAGAAATATAATCCACCCCAGATATTTGTTGTAATTCATAACGTGATTACTGTTATTCGTTACACAAGTAGAGCGAAACCGGGAGACGTCAACAAGATGTCAACAGGTAGGCGAATAGGCGTGGGTTTCATACAGAAAATCAACGAGCTCGGCTCCTTTGATTACATGGATATCAAAATATGTACATACTTGAGTATATAAAATAAATGAATGAATTTATAAGGTCAATGAATGTAAGCCGTAATAAACTCAAGGGGATAATAAACCTGAACATGTTTATTTTATATGGAAACCGTTAATAAATTGATGCTATCTCTTGGGACGTTTCTGATTTATCAGTTCGGTGCTTTAATTTCAAATGAGTATAATACGCACAATCACTGTCACTTTAATAGAACTTCTTAAATTTTAATCGCAATGTTTATAAATAATAGACGGGGATCAAAACGGTATTGTATTGTTACATAGAAAGGTAAACAACCGACAGGCAGCGGTGCCTACGCGTGACTAAATATACGAAGAACCAACACTGTCATAACATATTATAAAGAATGGAGACAACCTATCTAGGAACAATGATTACTTTCCTAACAAAAACTTTGTCACAGCGTGAGCTATAAAAAGGTTGGCAAAAAAAACTGCTTTCAAAAGTTTCGGTTTCAATTAACAAGAACTATGATACTATAAAAATAATAAGAGAAGACGGGCATATCTTTAAACAATAGTACGAGATCGTTTGAATGAAACCATCTTAACTCAATGCTAGGTTGGTTGTTGATACAAAGGAAGGTAAACGATAAGAAACGTTATCACAACACATAACATTCCTTACTCGTATACGGCAAAGATATCTGATAAGAGATCTTTATAAAAATAACATCTCATAAGTGAACACAACACAAACTAGATCTTCAGTGACAAACCTTGAAATAAAAATTTTCAGAGCGAACTCACCATAAATTGAGTTAAATTTATTAAGAATTTCCGAACAGGTAGATTTATTGGATATTTGTGTAGAGTGTAGTCTTAACTAAAGTGTACAACTGCATAAATGATAGACTTTGCCCAAATACATTTAGAAAATATTGATATTCGACATCACCTGCTGCTTCACTCGTCTTCTTTCTTTGTTTATGTTTGTGTGATGCCTTATCATGTAATCTTATAGTTTAATAATTTTGAGAAACATCATGTTGGACACAAGAAGCGTAAATCTTTGAATCGCATTACCAGTACAATTTATTGTAACTAACCACGGTTTACTTTATAGAAAGGTAAACCATTGCTCAATGTTCAAGCTTTAAAAGATGTTGAGCAAAATTAAACGAATTAGAAAACACCATTTGTTTTAGAAATAATGTGCGTATAAAATCAACTGTGACTTTAATGTAAGAAAAGTAAATTGTTGATGTAACGTCTGCTATGTAAGAACAGTAAACTGTCCCAGTTGGCGGATGGTTCACACCTGCACAACAGTAGCGGTAGAGTGACGTGAACGTTGTTGCGGAGGTACAAAACATCCCATTTGCGTCACATCGGAAACGCATTAAGCGAGCCGACGACGCCATAAGAGCGCAATATCCGACCGGCACCAGCGCTATACCGGTATTACTGCAACTACAAGATCGACTTTACGAGTAAATGTCGTTATACAATCTGGATTTTTAAGCGTATTCAAAGTTAAACATAGAAGGAGAGAACTAATAAATCGAATATATTATCTAAAATAGCTTTTAAGAGTGCATAAGAAAATAGAAAGCGTATTAAGTTCAAATCATCTTAAATGATGCTGTCGGCGTTAGCAACAATGAACAAAGCAGTAATTGATTTAATGATGTAAATTAATTTATGAAAACTACAACTATTTGCATAGCCGCTGATGTTCAAAGAGACGGCCTTTACATTCAGGTGTTAACAACATTCATTCCAATAAGTATTCGTAATGACGGAATAAGAGACGAATGATTAACATATGCATAGCATCTACTCAATAAACTTCACCTAGCAACCTAACCGAGCATTGTATAATAATGGCAAGCGCAGGATTTATATTTTTCTTCTTACGTCAATGTTTGCACAGATATTTTCATCCCATTTCACTGTAACTCAATGTACTCCAATCGCAGAAAATAAAGAGCTTCGGGTAATACAGCTCTCTAAAAGAAGATAAACTACTTTATATTACGCTTTTATTCTATTCAAAGTAGGTGGATTGGGACCTTTGTGTCCCAAACAAACAGTGTAAAGTTTTTGTATTAGTAGGTGTTCAATGTCGTGTGTGAGGGTGTGAACGATGTGCGACGTCCCGCTTTATGTTTCCCGCCGGTACATTAACAGAGAAATAGTGTCACACTGTTTATTAGCGTTTTATGGTCTATTGAGCTCTAGTTATAATTAGTAGTGGTTCATTAACGCGGTTTTGTTTCATGGTTCAACTGTGATAGGTGTAATGACAATGACCGCAATTAGAAAAAATACTACGAAATAAGTAATTATGAAAGTTAGAGAAAATGCATATAAAAACACATTCAAAAAGATACGTCTGCTCAATAACAATCCTTGACATTGATTTAGGAAATTCAATGACAGTCTATAAAATTCTTATTGAAAAATATATTCCAATAAAATTCTTGTGATTCAACGTCGCATCGGCGTCGTCGGGCTCAAGAGCACTCGATTATTCAATGTACAACCGTGTGTGGAGCGAATTCAACGACGGCAATCGTCCGAAAAGAGCTATTTTCACAAGGTACTCAGTGGAAAAAGAAAATCGACAGTAGAAAAACGACGTGCCGCATAACCGGCTACGCTGCATGGTAGAATACTTTGAACAAACTAAAAGAAGTTAGGCGAAAAACAATTTTAGAGCATAAGCATTACTTTTGCGGGACGAACTTACGTTCGTAGATGTAGAACATGTTTATGAACTAAAAGTTGATGCTAGTTGGTATGTTCGACTTAAGGACTAAGTTTTGCAAACCAGTAAGTCGTGTCTGCCATTACTTTACAGAACTTACATTTTACAAAGAGAAAGTCTAAGTACATTTTGATTGCGACAAAACGTAACTAACCAAAAGCGGCGTGCATTTACAAACAATCGTGACGCATTGGGCGCCCATGTGATTCAGATGAATCTTAACAAATTAGCTACCGGATAAGTTGTTCGTTTGTGTATTGTGCGACGGGTCATTTCCTCCCGAGTGGTGGTGCGAAAACATCACGTTTTCATAGTAAAATATTATGCATTTGCCGTGAAACCTGACGCCATGTTCGATGCGTTTGTTTGTGTGGCGTGCATTGTACCAATGTGGGCGCATACAACTATACAACGTGTTTATTGTGCTGTCTAGCAGAGCTGTAATTCTACTTTCAGTACCGTTAGAAAAGTTTGTGGTTGAAAATGTGTCACTTTGTTTATATGAGAACGTGGGGACAATGCGGCATAAATGTTAATTGTCATTAGAATTAATGACAAAATATAATTTAAGAAAACTCTTTTAATACAAAGGATATAAACGATTCTCAACAACATATCTGTCG